CCGAACTGCAGAACTGCAGTCAGCTGAAGTAGCCTGCAGTGCTGCATTTAACCACTGCGCCACTTCGGCTCTATATTTTATATAAAACTAAATAATCCAATCTTAGAACCTAAGGATCAGTGGTGGGTTCCAGATCCTGTTGCAACCGGTATGATTGCAATGGGGACCTGCGTCCACCTCATAAACAAGTGCAGCCCGCGCGCACACACACGCAGCACGGGAATGCATCTTTACCTCTTCCAACGCCTCTGGGAGCCTCTGCAACACTCCAGTCCAGAAGTGCCAAAGAGTTCAAATACAGGTAAGGATCTGGGATGGGTGGTCCCTCTGTTGCACCGTAACGGAATGGTATCCGGTGCTCCAAGCAGGCACCGGTACACCCATACCAGGGAGTACCACCTACAACCCACCACTGTTTAGGATTAAAATAAACACCAGGTAAAATTAGGGATCGAAGGAACATATACTACAGGGAATGTCATAACTGTCAACTATTTTATATATCTGATACATGAGAACTTTGAAGATACAGGATGGAAAGAGTATTGACTCTTCTGAGCTACGGTGTTGAAGGAAACTCCTGAAATTACTATCGATAGCCAAGATATGGATGAATCATTGAACAAATCAACCCAGGGTTTACAATTGAGACACTAATGCACCCAACACCAGGCTCGAATTATCCTGGTTTGGAGAAATACGCAAAGAGAAGGTTAGCTTTCTGGAGTAGGCTATGATGCTGGGAAAGATGGAAGGAAAGAGAAGAGGAGAATGATCAGCAGAAAAGTAAATGGATTTGATCCTAGAGACAATAGATGCACGCTTGGAAAAGCTGAAAAAAACAGGTTAGGGACAGGTCATCATGCGGAAAATCTGTCTATGCAGCCACTAGAAGTTGACACTAATCAATCAATCATAATAATCAATATTCTTTTAAAAAAGGATAAGATGAATGCATTATTTTGCAGAACCGGATAATAGTTCCTAAAATCCAAAACTTCTGCCTTTCAAATGATGTACATGTAGCAATAATCAGTATTCAGTATTCAGTCTACGTTCAAATCTCTGCCCATTTTCCCCTTCTTGAATTTTGCAGGGGAAAAAAGCCAATTTATTTCCGTCTCCTGGGCCAGGTGGATTACTGGCTATGCACACTGAAGCAAAGAAGGTGAAAATGTGAGGATATTTTTCTATGATATTTCTCTTCTTTCAGATAGGCAGAGCCTATTTAAATGTTGCACTGCATGTCAGTAGTTGTCAACCGTCAATGCGGGGTAGGGATTGGGCACCCCAGGAAATCAAAGCAAACTCAATTATCTATCTGCTGACAATGACAGAACCATTTCATTCCCTGGCTCGTCACAGAATGTGAGGGGGAAAAAATTAAAAGCGTGAACATTTTTAATGAGAGCAATTATTGAATCATCAGTCACACAGTCCATCTGCTTCAGAGCGTTCCAGTGACGAGTGAAATACTGAAATACTGCATTGCCTTGTGGCATGTAGAGAACCACATCCACTTTCTTTGAGAAAGCCCTAATGATATTCATATATCATGCCCATCACTTTCACTCACTTACAGTTCTCTCTTTTTTGCTGGCTTTGTTATATTAATTGCTAATTTTGCATTTTGACACCAAGTTGGTGGAAATGTGCTAGCTGTAGCAAACCCACAGATAAGAGCTCGCTGTGCTGACGTTAAATAGAGGCAAATGTAATGTTCAACCCAAGAGATAAATGGTTGCTGAATTTATCTCCAGTGTCCCGTTTAGCAAGGAATTCTGTGAGCAAAAGACCTTACATTGACTGGATTTAACTTTTTTTTTCTGTGCCTGATGGACTTAATAATCCGTTTGGTGCAGACATTCAGTTATGACAGTATGTCAATGAAGAGAAAAGGTCTGTTCTGTAGAATTCAAAAACCTTTGCAAACAGGTAAGACATAGGAAGGGGAAAGTTTGCAATATATAGGAAGTAATGGCATCATATATAACATTTTATAAATATTTATATATTTATATTATAGATAGATAGATAGATAGATAGATAGATAGATAGATAGATAGATAGATAGATAGATAGATAGATAGATAGATAGATAGATAGATAGATAG